AATATATATTTGTGTCAGGTTTGGAACAAACACACAGTTTAGAACCTAAAATAAGCATTGCGAGATAAACTACTTCTCTACTGTAGTTCTACTATCCGTACTTAGTCTAGCTTCTTTTCAGTATTCATCATTTTGATAATATCTCTGCTCCCCTAGTTTATATACTCTAAGGAAAGATACCCTCTGGCGTTGAGATCTCTGCAGATTTCCTCCGGATTTTCAGGTTAAACAACTCCAGAACTTAACCAGCTACATACAGGGAGACCTGTTTATAATGAGACCTTAGAGTTGACTACAGGAGATTATACACAGTTTAATTTACCATCTCTTGTTTCTTACTTTCTATTTTTCATTTAATTCTAAGTGACCCTCTATGCTTGGCAATGTTCAATTTTCAACGGTACCCATTAAAACTTTTTCTGATCTTGTATAATCATAGATATCAATTTTGTTTTTTTAATCTGTTTTTATTAGCGGTTTATCTGCGGCGTTGACTTTTGAACTCCTTTTTTATAAGAAAAATAGAGAAACTCATAGAAACTCCCGGGTACTATTGTAAATCGGACATTGCCATCTCTAAAAGTACACTGTGAGCAAGATAAACTTAATAATTTGATGATTCTTTTTAATGTTGAATTATTAAACATCAATCTTGGGTAAAAACAAAAACATCCGTGCTTGTCCAGCTGAACAAAATTTCGAATACTTTTCAACCATTTAAAACCTCTGCGAACGTAAGTCAGTATAGTGTTTATAAATCAAAATGAATCCAGAAACAGGTTTATTTTTTTTTGAATATGATACTAGTAAAAAAACTACATTTAAAAGTCAGTCGTATTTTATGAGAAACGAAAAAGTTTACTTAAATCTTTGATTGGCGCCTTCGTTCTATCGCCAACTGTTTTGTTATTTGTAACTTATTGTTACTGATTTGAAGACAGATACATTGACACATATTATGATAGATCTATAGACAAATTGTACAGACAGGGATAGACAAACTGTACATACAGATATAGACAAACTGTACAGACAGATATATACAAGCTGTACAGACATATATAGACAAACTTTACAGACAGATATAGACAAACAAAAAGACCAATGTACAGACATATACAGTATAACTTTTGAATAACACACTGTAATGTGCAGTTCACAGAGACACATTTTATTTAAAACAAGTTGACTTGCATGGCAATGGTAAAACTACTTGATTTATATACAGGGTGTCCCTCGAACAGCAAGACAAGTTTCAAATTGTCGTTTCCGGTAATATTGAAAGCACGAAAAAGGCAGATCACATTTTGGAAATGCCAAGACTAGCGGTATTTTGTAATTAAACCAACTGTAGAATTTTACTTCTACAATTTAGTTTATTAGTATCAAAGACGACCTTCAACTCGTCTTGCTACTCTCATGTTTTGTGGGACAATCTGTATAACATCAAATACTCATTAGATTGCTTTCATGTCGTCAACCTATTCCATAGTTTTATGTGTTCCACTGTTTATAGAACGATATGAAGAAAAAACTTGTATAGACAAAATAAGCGTGGGATTAATATTAATAGTCTATATGTAGAAATTTCTCTGGCATATTTTGTTAAAAAGCAGGAATTTTAAAATTCTAATTTTAAAACAACCTTTAATTTTATAACTTAGTTATTACCTAAACTCATGAAGTATTTCTATATCTATATTTACTAACTAGCTTGGGAACCCAGCTTTGTCTGGAATTCTCAACCTAGTCTAACTAAACCAAGCTAAGAACATTTTTGCTGTTCTACCAAGTTCCACAGTAAAAATTTAAGGCAAATCGGTTTATGAGTTATGATTGTACATACAAACATGTGATATTATCAAAATGTGTACAATTTTTAAAATAAAACAACTTTAGTCAAGGCAATAAATTCACCAACCTTTAACGAACAGATTGAAAAAGTTTTTAAAATTTCAAGCTTAAAGTATAAAATTAATTGAATTTGTAATACTGCCAGCTTGCCTCTCAGAATATGTTAAAAGTTAAAATTAAATTCCAGTCTGGCATGTTGATTGCTTAGTGTTAGAGTGTTAAACATGTATCTGCAAAATAAAGAAAGGAGTCTCTGTAAATAAAAAGTAGTAATCTCTGTCTGTCTGTCTGTCTACCCGTCTGTCAAGTGAGTCAGATCGTTTCATCATTAACTAGTCGTACCAACCCGTCTAGGGTTCCCAGTTTGTGGTTGAACCAACGCTTTTTATGCAATAAAATTAGGCGGGCTCAGGCCGAATTTAAAGAATTTGAGCCGCGGCTCAAATAATGGTTGGTTCCACTTAAAATCGCATTCGTTATTTAAAGATTTAAGCAGGCGCTCAGTTAAAACCGGTTTTTGGCGGATTTTAGACGCAGCTCAAATTCATGCCGATGATAACTTAGGAACTACTTGACCCATTTGCGTCAAATTTGTATTGCGAACTTGGAAGAAACACGGTAATCTTGGTTGGAAAATTCTAACTTGAGTAGTTACTTGCCAAAGCTGGGTTCCCAAGCTAGTTTATTATGATTGTCAACAAATCTTCAACTAAATTTCATGTGAAGTAGAAAAGTTCCAAATGCTCGCAGCAATACTCTTGCTTTGATATCCATCTCTGATATCCATCTTCTTTTTGCAATCGTCAATTATTTACCTTTGAACCTCATGAATAAATAAAAACTGTTTTTTTAAGAATTTGCAATTTTAACTTTTTCTAAATATTCGAATCCAAAACACTTGAAAATTCGAGGAAGAATTATTTATTAAAAAAGGCTTCCCGTCTGTAGACTGTAATACGTCCTTTTGTCCTGAGACCCAAGCTTTTATGATATCATTCACAATAAATGTTAAAATACATTTTTATATTATTTTCAGTTTAAATTCTAAAATGTCCGGTGAAACTCCAGTTGGAACCAATTATACGGATAAAGGACCGAAGCCAGAACGGGGAAGGTAAGAATTTTTTATATTTTATTTTACACATAATTTCGTTGACTTTTTTATTTTTTTCGTTTCGTTTCGTATAAATTAATAGTAATAATTAAAACATTTGTATGCGTTATAGACATAGATAAAGATAGATTGCGCATAAGACGACATTTTTCATCTTGAAAGATATAAATGTACAGAGATGTTTTAAAGATATTCCTATTATATAGATTAACTAGGTCGGTTGTGAACATTGGCTGTTCTTATGTTATGTCATTGAGTACTTGTTGTGTACATGAGTTCTGTAGAGAGAAATTTAAGTTAGTTTAGTCCGTCTCATGTCCATCTTCAGTTCTCGTCAATATGGTTTATTGCTCAGTGAAATATTGTTGTTCAAATAGTTCCATTCCCGGTGTTATTTTACACTCTAATAGGAAATCCATTGAAACACCAAACCACCCCGCTTATCATTGAAGTACACTTTGACCCCTAGAAGTATGAGTTCGCGGACTGTACAATTTTTGTTGATTTTGCGTACAGAAGCTATCTATGTTTATTTATTTATCTATGGTTATAGATACTTTATTTTTTTGTCTAAAGATAAACAAAAAAGTAACTCATTTAACAATTAACTAAAGAAATATACAATATATTACAATATATTACAATATATTACAATATATTCCAATATATGCTTAAACAAAAATACGTTTTTCTTAAATAAAAAAGCTTAAATGTTTTTGAGAATTCTGAAACTTTAAAAAAAGAGAACCTTTCAATATTACTTCAAAATTCTGTCAGGTAATTACTGAAATTGACAACAACAAAGAATAAAAAAGAAAAAAATATTCCTGGGGAAATTTTTCTAAAATTGTTAAACTTTATTGTGCATGAAAACAAATGTCAATATTAAAGGGACTGTAAGCGTATTTCTAGTGACTGATTCACAACGGTACCCTTTAAGCTTTGTCTGCTCAAGTATCAATTAGATATCAATTTTAGTAATTTAAAAACAGATAATATATCATTGTGGTTTCTTTAAAAAATGGAACTCGCACATTTCTACCGCAGGAAAACGTATAGGAACTATCAGGCATAAAGACTTTTAAGCCTAGAAAAACGACAATTTCTTTCCCATTATTGATCAGCTGAAGGTTTCTGTGGATGTCACTGAAAATTACGCGTACAGTCCCGTTTATTCCAGGAAAGTGGCACGACGCATAATTTAAAGTTTCCAGAATGTTCTGTATCTCTACATTATAAGAGATGTGAATTGATAAATGAAACCTGAACAACCTGTTCCTAGATCATGGGGCGGAAAAATAAATGTTTCAAAATATTGATTTAAAAAAATTCCTTCTCAACATATAGGATTCGATGTGTTAAAAGCGTAATTTCAGGTTGAACTTCAATACAAAAATGACATTGCCTGATTCACAACGGTACCCTTGAAACCTTTATCTGACCGATCAATAATTTGGAAAATATTGTAGTTTTTCTAGGTTTAAATGTTTTTAATTATGATAATCTCTATATGTTGTCCTGAAGTAGAAATGCGAAAGTCAGTTATGTATTAAAAAACACAATCGAAAATAATCAGTTATCAAAATTCATATTTTAGGTTTAGGTCACTTGAAATTACGCATACTGTCCTAGTCCTGTAGAAAATAATAAAAATTTTAAAGTATTTCCTTTTCTACTAATTCAAATGGTTTCATCAATAGAATGATATATTCATCATTTATATTTGTCTAAAGCAAAATTACATCAAACAATATAAAAATTTACTATTTAATACTAATACACTCTTTTCTCTGGATATAGCACTTTATGGTTGAAAGGGTTTGCATAAAAACAGGTGCAATACAAGACTTTTAGCATGAGTATAGTTTAGCTATTCAGAGGTGGTTTTCAGAGAAGGGGTTTCTTGGTACCACTCAAGTGTTTTTCGTTTTCTAATGTGGTATGATGACAGCACTGCAAGGCTTGATAGGTTTTCGCACATTGCTTTGAAACTAGCACTGGGTTTTCAGAAATTACGCAGTTTCTTTAGATTTGTTTTATTTGATAGTAAGATATATCCTCTTGAGCCGATTTCAAAATGGTAAATAGGCATATCTCTAGTTATTATATCTGTAATAAAATGTTCATACTTGTTCATCTTTTGAGTGTTGGCATTTTGGATGTTTGTTTCCAATGGGACAGTAAGCTCAAAAATATCCATCTCTTCCTCCATTCTATTACTAGATCTGGTTTCTATGTATTCAATTTATTCACTTAATCCATGTTAATTTAATAAAATAAACTATTTTGGGTTACTCACAAATGCATCAGTGCAAGTAAGCTGTATATTTTGTTAGCATCTAACGCGGAGTTGAATCTATACGAACCGAAATTGCGTAATGTTTAATTGATTGTCGAAGGAAACGTGGTCTTTGTATATACAATTTAAACGTTTAAATACGAAAAACGTAAATTTTTTACTAGCTCACATATCAAAAGCTTTCATATTTTAGTATATAATGGCTAACACATAATGGTATTGAAATATGATAAATTTAAATTTGTTTGTGCTTTTTCTCATCTAAATAGGACAAATTTGGTTCACCATGAAATTACCCAAATAAGTGAACGGTCCCATTAAAGAATGCAACTTCTAAGAGGAGGTTGAACTTGATAGATCTGGTTAAACTACTTAAAGGTAGAATTAAACTAGATCTACCTAAAGACTACTTTTTTTTCGTTCATTTAACCCCAAATCTGGTCATTAATCATTATAATAGATTCCCGGCAAAGGAATTTAGTCTTTGCCACAATAACTGATTTTCTAATTCCTATATTTTTTCAACCCGATGACGTTAGTGCTAAGATATTTTGAACTAGATATTCTGTTAGATGAAATAATCTACAATGATAGTTAGAAAAATAAATAGGAAGACAACGTATAGACTCAAGGTATTATTTTAAATTTGAGCATGGGACACCAAAACTTGTGCAGTGTAAACAAACCCATTTCACATGATTAGTGATTTAATAAGTGTCTAGTAAAACTATATGATTTGCAACAACATCAATACACTTACGTATTGCATTAAAGTCGTCTTCTTATTTCAGAGTTTTCTGACTATCACTGTAAATTTAAAATATTAAAGGTTTACACCAATAGGTTGCAAAGATATGGAGATAAGAAAATCTGATTTTGCGTCAAAGACTCTACAATTCCTTTTTGTATCAAACAATTTTATGGTACTATATATCTTTATATTAAGGTTCCTACGGTTTGACCAAATTGAGTGGTGGGTTGGCAGTGGCGTAAATAAGGGGGGTTATTGGGGTTATTTCCCCCCCCCCCCTAGAATCCTGGGGGTAAATACCCCCCCCTNTCATATTAAGGTTCCTACGGTTTGACCATATTGAGTGGTGGGTTGGAAATATATCTTTATATTAAGGTTCATACGGTTTGACCATATTGAGTGGTGGGTTGGAAATGCGCAACAAGCCGCGTCTTTCTACTGCACGAGACTAGGCTTTGAACCTATTGCTTACAAGGTCACATTTTCTTTAATATTTCCATAATTTTTTTAATGGAAATAATATAAAAGGTAAAAGCAATTTGAAATTATCATTTAAAGGTAGTGTTCGCGAAAAATGAAAGGTGGTATAGGCCTATGTCTATAAGGAGAAAATTGTTATAAAGTTCAGAAAGTTGCAACATTCAACTCGGATCGTAAAAAAAATCAATTTAATTCTAAAAAAATCATTCAGATATTACAACCAATAATCATCGATAATTTTGTTTGGAATAAAATATATATTTTTACGATCTGAGTTGAATGTTGCAACTTTCTGAATTTGTATGGACGCTACCTTCTTCAACATGAGTCGTTTTTAACAATTTTCTCCTTATAGATGCAACAGATAGAAATAAGATTAGTAGCGATCAAAAGCGCTATACCATATAGCCTTTCCTTGTAAGCTCTACTTTACTTTTGTAAAATTTTAAAAGTGTCTCTGCAAAGGAAATGTTGGAAATTTGTGATTTTTTGAGAATTATAACAAAGACTAAAACATAGAAACTGTTGCTTCAATCAAATTGTTATGGTTAGGGCCTTGAGACCGGAAGTCGTCAGGTGGCATGCCACGTGGTAAAGCAGAAAGACACCATTTTTGTTTTTAAGTCAGCTTATGAACCAGACTCCGAGATAAACAAAATCATGGGAGCTCATCTTGTTAGGTAACTCAAGGTTTTTCTAATACTAAATAGTAAAATTTCTAACAAAATATGTGTTTTTCTTTAACCTAATTTTGTATGCGGAAACTTTTTTATATATTCTGGTTGAATTTGACCTCCGTCATTTTTGATACTATTTCTTTAGGATCTTTACATATTACTACTTAAGATTAATAAAATCATTCATTGTAAAATTCTTTTTAATTGTAAAGATATGATTCCATCATTCTTCTACTAATGTTGGGGATTCAGCTTAACTGCAGACATTGGAATAATTAAAAAGATTCAAACTTGCTTTTTTTCCAAAAATCGCTAATTTTCGTCATTTTACATTCATTAAAATTGGGAAAATGGGAACTTATCATTTTACTTTGATCCGAATTCCTTAGACCAATTTTTCCTGAAAACTTCCCGATAAGTATACTTTTATTGATCATAATTAATTTAAAGGCATGGGGATGGTGTCAAAGATGTTTCCTTCACTGTTGAGGATCTTGATGGGATTATGGAAAAGTGTGAGGTAAGGATTACATGTTAAGGATCTTGATGGGATTATGGAAAAGTGTGAGGTAAGGATTACATGTTAAGTATCTTCATGGGATTATGGAAAAGTGTGAGGTAAGGATTAAAGCTGAGGATCTTGATGGGATAATGGAAAAGTGTGAGGTAAGGATTAAAGTTGAGGATCTTGATGGGATTATGGAAAAGTGTAAGGTAAGGATTAAAGTTGAGGATCTTGATGTGGTTATGGAAAAGTGTGAGGTAGAGATTAAAGTTGAGGATCTTGATAGGATTATGGAAAAATGTGAGGTAAGGATTAAAGCTGAGGATCTTGATGGGATAATGGAAAAGTGTGAGGTAAGGATTAAAGTTGAGGATCTTGATAGGATTATGGAAAAATGTGAGGTAAGGATTAAAGTTGAGGATCTTGATGGGATTATGGAAAAATGTGAGGTAAGGATTAAAGTTGAGGATCTTGATAGGATTATGGAAAAATGTGAGGTAAGGATTAAAGTTGAGGATCTTGATTGGATTATGGAAAAATGTGAGGTAAGGATTAAAGTCCAGGATCTTGATGGGATTATGGAATAAGAAGAAAATGGAGAGCAAGAAAAATAGAATTATCAAAATATTTGCAGCTGCTACCATAATGATAAATATGTTACAAATATTTGCAGCTGCTACCATAATAGTAAATATGTTACAAATATTTGCAGCTGCTACCATAATGATAAATATGTTACAAATATTTGCAGCTGCTACCATAATGATAAATATGTTACAAATATTTGCAGCTGCTACCATAATAGTAAATATGTTACAAATATTTTTAAGGCTAAAGGTGTGAAAATAGTTCGAGATATCTGGGAGGAATCTGATGAAGGAGGAAAAGTAAGGTTTGCAACTGTCCAAACTTACGGAGATACAACTCATACCTTTGTCGAGAGGTAAATATTTGTAAAAAAAACAGCAAGTTTAATAATTATTAATGTGTTCAAAGCATTTTACTTTTTCCTTTGTTGATAGTGTCATTTCATTCTTAATGTAATAACGTAAATGTGTTGGTCCTAAAGAAACACACTTTCATGAAGTGCAAAAGTTTAAATATTGCAAACATATATTATACATTGTATATCTAAGTAAAAGAATCGAGATAAGTGTATTATAAATTTGATATTGAGAATCTTTAAAGTTATAATTCAGAAAATGATTTCTTGTATCTTAATTTGTTACTTTAGTTGTTTGGATTAATATACTGTGTAATGTTAATACAAGAGTCATTTTCATCTAATTTGTATTTCCCAGGAAAGGGTATACAGGTTTGTTCCTCCCTGGATATAAACCTCCCCTGAATGAGGATGTACTACTGGCAACCCTGCCTAAGGCTGGGATCTACTTTGTAGATCATGTGGTTGGTAACCAGCCTGACCTACAGATGGAAGATGCAGGTAGTCATGTATAGAGATAGTCATCATGTGGTTGGTAACCAGCCTGACCTACAGATGGAAGATGCAGGTATTCATGTATAGAGATAGTCATCATGTGGTTGGGAACCAGCCTGACCTACAGATGGAAGATGCAGGTAGTCATGTTTAGAGATGGTCATCATGTGGTTGGTAACCAGCCTGACCTACAGATGTAAGATGCAGGTAGTCATGTATAAAGATGAACATCATGTGGTTGGTAACCAGCCTGACCTACAGATGGAAGATGCAGGTAGTCATGTATAGAGAGGAACATCATGTGGTTGGGAACCAGCCTGACCTACAGATTGAAGATGTAGGTATCGTTCTTTTCAACGAACAAAATTGTTGTTGAAAAGGGTGTCGTTCAAAATGAACAAAAAAATGATGGACAAACAAATTGGATCATTGTAGAGATCTGAAAAAATTATCGTTTTTAAAAACGAACGAGAAAAAATTATAACGAACGATTCAAAAGCAAAATTATCTTTTTTTACTGAACGAACAATTTTATTAAACAAACGAATATACTTCAGGTTCGTTTAATGAGAAAACAAACAAAGTAGATGAAAAATGAACTATAATTTTGAGAACGAACAAAATCAATAATTTTTTGAATGATTGAAAAAAAACGAAATGTGTCGTTCACGAACAATGAACTTGCCCATCTCAAGACTGATGTGCCTTCAGTATGATTTGTATTTCTTTCAGGGTTCATGTTTGGCAAAGTTTACAAAGAGCAATTATGTTTGATAAAATGTTTATTCTAAACATTTACTTTTCTTGCACTATGTTTCATTTTTACACTCATGACAGAAGATACATGTTTAAAACGACCTAAAGACGATTCACTTTTAATTAGACGACAATATGGTCGTCTAAAACAACTAAAAAAAGAGCTAAACAAACTCTACAGTGGGAGTTTTCTGATGATATATATTTTCAGCTTCTTGGTATGAAAGGAACCTGTTGTTTCATCGGTTCTGGTCCGTTGATGATACACAAATGCACACAGACTACTCAGCTCTCAGGTAGAACACTATACAAGGGTCCGTTGATGATACACAAATGCACACAGACTACTCAGATCTCAGGTAGAACACATACAAGGGTCCGTTGATGATACACAAATGCACACTGACACAGACTACTCAGCTCTCAGGTAGAACACTATACAAGGGTCCTTTAATGATACAGAAATGATAGATCTAGAGGCGTTTTCAAGGGGGGCTATTAGGGCTAACCCCCCCACCCCCAGGGTATGTGAAATCTATGGTTTTCCGGGGTGCTTTGGGCCCCGACGGATGCTGAGCCCCCCACCCCCAACAACCCCACCCCCATAGACAAATTCCTTAATACGCCCCTGGATAGTATAATTAACATAGGTGGGAGGAGTATCCGAGGGTTGTAATTACTGTCTGGGCAACACTAGATCATAGAAGTTGATGATGACTGATGACTGTTATGAAAAATATTGATCCCGGATCTCATCCCGGATTATGTTTTAATAAATTGAATAGTACAGTGTTCAGTAAGATGATTACAAACACAAGAAACTTAATTGAAAACATAGAATAAAAGGCTTTCTGTTAATAATAAAATAGATTAATTTGGAAAAGTATCCACTCTCAATCTTACTTTTGTAAAGTTAAGACTATTAAACCTATAGAATCATATAGTAAATAGTAAATACTAAATAGTATTACCAGTGTCCAAATTTAATGAATTTGAGCCGCATCTAAGATCCGCCAAAAACCGGTTAAAATTCAACGCTGGCAATTAAATCTTGAAACAAGAAATACGAATTTAAGTGAAACCAACAATATTTGAGCCACCGCTCAAATTCTTTAAATTCGGCCTCAGATTATTGAAATAGCTTTTATCATAACATATTGTGGAGAAAATAAATTGCCCTAAAAATCAAATCAGACTTTTACTGATTTTATAAATTCTATTTTTTGCAATCTGATAAATCATTGATATTTAGCTTATCTCGTTAAATTCTTAGATTGATAAGATAGGCATGAGGATAAGAAGTTTAAAGGATTTGAAAAGTTGAGTTTAAGGCAAACCTAGTTCATTCATTTTCACCTCGTTCATTCAAAAGAAGTTTAATTTTTTTTCTCAAATTTCTTACATCTTTGCAATCTAATGTTTAAAACCTTTATTATTTCAAACTAGGACTTGTTAATGTTTTAACATTTTTTTCATGAATGAGAATTAAATGTCAAGAGCTGTGGAACTTTTTAGTTAAAATCTCTTATTCCCGAACACTTGATCTCGATATCCTAAGTGGGCACATTTGAATAAATGAGAATTGAATGTCCAGGTCTATTGTGATGGCAAACTATGAAGAGACGATCAAGATGCCACTGAATGAACCAGCACCTGGCAAGAAGAAGTCACAGATCCAGGTAAAGTAAAATATAGAATTCTGGATCTAGAGATCATTCTATTAATCAATCTCAAGGTTAATATAATCCAGGTAAAGTAAGATATAGAATTCTGGATCTAGAGATCATTCTATTAATCAATCTCAAGGTTAATATAATCCAGGTAAAGTAAAATATTGAATTCTGGATCTTGAGATCATTCTTTTAATCAATCTCAAGGTTAATATAATTCTTAGTTGTTATTCAAAAAATGCATAAAATTTAACCAACAATGCTTTGTCCCAAATTACATCATTAAAATTTAAAATAGACGTTGTTAAGTGATCCAGGAGTAGAGTCTTTGCCACAAACTCAAATTTTCTAATCACTATAACTTTGCCACCTAATGGTATGATGAACCTTTGATATTTCAAACTTTTATTACTTGAGCTACAAAATTTATAGTTTGAAATATCTATGGTCCAGGACATTAGGTTGCAAAGATGCAGGAATAAGAAAATCAGAGTTTGTTGCTAAGACTCAATTTCTTTCTATTTAGGAGTATGTTGATTACTATGGGAGTGCTGGAGTCCAACATATTGCTCTAAGGTACAATATACATATACCTTAACTCTATGCCAAAAACTTCTGAAAAGACGATTTGCAAAAAAATGGTCCAAATTTGGCCAGTGCATTTTTTCTAATTTTTATTTTTCTTAACTGTAGTTTTACTTAAAATTAAACATTTCATTTGCTTTTTTGGGGGGTGGTGGGCCAAAATCTCCACTTTAGAATTTTTAAAATTAATGCATGCTTCATTTTACAATTGATAACATTTTTTAATTGATTTTCGAAAAAAAAAGAATTCTTGATATTGAATGAGGAAATAATCAACGTTTTTTATTCCAAAAAAAGTTGTCTGGCGGAAGTGTCTGTCAGTTAGAGTTGCGCTAACATCGCGCTATTACCTCATTTTTAATTTGATATTTTTACTCAACTGCACAAACCCCAAGCTATAGCGGGTCAACCAAAAGCTAGCTTAACTATTTGACTAAAAGAAATGAAATCATATATAACAAAAAACCCCGATTTGTTGGGCCTGTTAGCCAACAATTAAGTTATACCTCAAAAAGGGAAAAGGTCGGGTTTCATACCCCCACCCCCTGTGCATTACCCCCCGTCGTAAATCATTTTAAAATTTGTTTGCCCTCATGTGTCTGTTTTTAGCAGCTGCAGCTGTTAGCTGACAGCTTGGACAGCTTGCCGACCAATTGTTGACTTTTAAGCTAACTTATTTAGTCTCTTGTTAGTTAGTTAAGTTAGCCTTGTGAATTTAAAAAGCAAGTCTGAATATCATATATGCATCAATTTGAATATGCAGTGTTTAGTTGTTACTCAATAATAGAATACATGTCATTGATTAGCACCTCCACAGGTGTCCCCCATCCAGAGGCCGAATTTAAAGAATTTGAGCGGCGGCTTAAATTTAAGCTGCGGCTCAAATAAGGTTGGTTTCACTTAAGATTGTATTCAATGTTTCAAGATTTAAGCCGGTGCTCAATTGGAACAGGTTTTTGCGGATTAAATTCGGACCCAGATCTATTTCAAAGATATTTCCTTTTTACAGAGCAAACATTTTAATATAGAGTTTATCGTAGATTTATATGTTTAAGAATAAGAGTCTTAAAAGATATTTAGGACTTTCTGAGAGAAAATTCAGTGCATTATCTTAATGAAATTATTAAATTTAAAAAAAAAGTAATAAGTAGTTTTAAACCCAAATCTTCATTCAATCTAAATTATAAACTTTCATTAAGAAAATTGAATCTTAAATTTCTTACTTTTCAATTTTACGTAAAACATTTAGTGACACCTACTGGTGAAAATAGAAACTAAAAGACACAATATATGCTATGTCTAATATTTGACTTTCATTTGGGTTTTAAGTCAACCGCTTATTTGGGCAGATTATTTGAAAACACTCAATTTAACAGACAGTATAAACATATGAAAATTTTAAAAAAATTTCTCAGAGCTGAAAACATATTTGGTATTTGATCCAGATGTTCCATGAGGTATGACTTTTTTTTGACCAAATTGGACTAAAATGAAAATCGTCCCAGTAAAGAAATTCTTTTCTGTAAAAAACATACATGTAATATTGCTGAAATATCTTTTGACCAAATTAGACTAATATCAAAATCGTCCCAGTAAAGAAATTCTTTTCTATAAAAAACATACATGTAATATTGCTGAAATATCTTTTGAACAAATTAGACTAATATCAAAATCGTCCCAGTAAAGAATTTCTTTTCTGTAAAAAACATACATGTAATATTGCTGAAATATCTTTTGAACAAATTTCAAACTTCTTCTTTATTTGTATGCAAAATCAACATACATGCAATGTTAATGAAATATTAATGAAAAAAAATGTTTCCAACTTCTTATTTATTTGAATGCAAAATCCACTACACAACCCAACTCTGTAAATGTAGTTCCTTGGATTTCTAGAATCTGAGTGTTTGCAATTAATTGATTTACAGGGTATGTTGTGACGAGGACTATTAGGTGTAATTTTCAATGATTGCAATCTATGTATTTCTGTGGATTGTTGGTCAGGGGTTACACCCATTTTTAACGTTATCTTATTTTTCAATGAAAGTGTGTTAATTTAAAAAAAGTAAAGTCCCCCCCCCCTTAAATAGTCCAACCAGGACTAGGCGAGTCAATAATCAAACCTACTGAAATAAGACAAGCAAAAAAACTTTACAAATTTGGATTTCTTTTCCAGGTCATTTGATATAATTGCTTCAATTGAGAACCTGAGAGCCCGTGGATTGTCCTTCCTGAATATTCCAGATAATTATTACAACCAGCTGAGGAAAAGGTTGGCCAATTCACCCGTCCAGGTAAAAAAATCCAGAATTTTTTTCGATTTTTAGGATTTAAAAACATTTTAAATTCTAAATATAGATCTTTACACTTGAATAAATGTCCAATTTTCATCTAAAAAAATTTGTAAGGTTTATAGTTTTCTCCATGGGTTTAAAATATAAATGTCTAAGGTGAAAGAGGACATTGACATGCTTCAGAAGTTAAAGATACTTGTGGACTTTGATGACAACGGTTATCTACTTCAAATATTCACCAAGCCTGTTCAGGTTAGAATTCTTTATATTCAATGTATTAATAGAGATAGGCGGGTTCAACTTTTTTTCATTTTGTAGGATCATCATTCGTGAAGGACCCATTTCGTTAGATTTTTCATACGTTCTCATATTATCGTTCATGTTCTATCTATTTACTTCTTTTCTCAATCGATAGTTTAGTAAAAACTATCGTTTTTTCAGAAGTTTGTTCCGAAAATCATTTGTTCAGTAAAAAAAAACCGGGGGGAGGGGAGACCCCCCCCGGGCCCCCCCTCCTATCAATTTTGTACATGACCATTTATTTTTCAGCAAATTTATTATTATTTATTTTTTTGTTATTTAGGGTTAGGTTAGGTTAAGAAAATGCTAAACGATGCCCACCTCTACTCTGTAGCTGAATGCTAAACGATGCCCAGCTCTACTCTGTAGCTAAATGCTAAACGACGCCCACCTCATACTCTGTAGCTGAATGGTAAACGATGCCGATTTCTACTCTGTGGCTGAATGCTAAACGTCATTAAGATTAAACCATGTAATTAAGTGATGATTTTTCAATCATGTTTGATCCACACAGCACTCTTTTTAAAGTAAAACGCTGAAAACAATTGGTTCCGATTTTCTGTTTTATACAAATCAAAACTGTTTAATTGTAGCTAATATCTCTGACAATTTAAGATTACAATAATAATGATATCAATAATGATCTTCATGTTATATATCTCTTATATTTCATGCTTTAATCCGAATATCATGTGTCCTGTATAATTATAGGATCGGCCAACTGTGTTTATTGAAATCATTCAGCGCCACAATCATCAAGGCTTTGGAGCTGGAAACTTTAAGGTTAATTTTTATTTGTTAATTTTCGTTTCCTGTGTTTTTAAGGTCAAAATTGTCAAAAAATTTTCGATTTTTTTTATTTATTTTTTATTTATCATAAAACTAAAAATTTCGCAAATTTTTCTGTTTTGCATTGACGGATTTTCAAAAAATATCAATGTCGATCGGCTATAAACGTTTTCTTCAGTCATGTTATTCATCAAAGGATGCGACTGTAATGACGACCCCAGGGAAGGTTTTTCCGCAAACCTGTTTTGTTATCGTTTTATACTGTACAAAGAGAAGATGCTCACGGATGTGGCCTGAAAAACCTAGGCGCTGTTTGAGTGTATTGAGATAGACCAAGGGAAAAGAGGAAACCTGTAAAACTTCTCAATCTGAAGTACATGAAAACCAAGTGAAAATTTCATATTGCCTTATAATTTTATTGAATTTGGTTTACTAGAAAAATAAAGATTACATAATTGTTGAATGATTATTGGATAATAGAGAATAGATATAAAGGAGGAATAGATGGGCTCACATTCGGCTGTTTTAGGAAACATTTCTTTTGAAAGCAAGATCAGCTAATTGTTTGACTAACTCATAATAATTTTTTTTCTTCGGCTTTAAAAGTAAGTATAGAATCGAAAATATGAAATACAATTTCAACATCATACCTAGTATTAGCAATAGGTATTTTAAAATATCATGGTCTAACAAATAAAAACTAAAAAGATATTTATTTTCAATACTCTAAAACATTGATGTACACTTATGTAACCAATAAGAATTTTAGGAAGTATAGTGATAACCAGAAAACAATGGAATAGGTAGACGACATTATAACAATACTTACGTGTCTATGTGATATTGTTTCAAAGCAAATAGATTTACTAAACACTTCTTTTATAATTAATTTGGTAAAATGGGTCTGTTTACACTGCACAATTGCTGTTTCTCATATTCATTGGACTTTTTAAATATAAAAATCGATTTTAAAAGTCTTCTTCAGAGTTTTCTGGTTGTCATTCTACAAAAGAGAACTGTTTTGCGCCACGTTGGGTTCCCTTTTAGTTTTAAACAATTGATATGATGTCAAAGAATTTTTGCTAGAAACTGAAATGCCCCTGTTTACAATTTCTTTATTCTCTGTATACAATTTTCAGGGCTATTTTTTTAAACACTTCGCGTACTACTCTTTATACAAACTAACCTTAAGGCTTAAACTAGTTAGTTAATTTCTGGGCCGAGCAAAGTATACATTTTGTGAAGGTGGGGGAAATCATAAAATCCTTAAAATGTATGATGCATTTCGTAATAAATATATTGATTTTGCAAATTTCATTTCTTATTTCAGATAATTGAAGTAAAGAGCCCAAAAGCTTTTAAAAAATGTGTCAAATTTTATAGATTTGTATCAAAAGAAGGAAGTAGATGGGGGGTAACTGTGAGAGCCCCCCATCTATTTTGAGTAAACCAGCCATCAGTCGGAATAGGGTTAAAAGAACATAAGGCAGAAGGCCAAATTGGGATTGTCATATTTTAAGGTATTACATCGTCTGAACTTTGTGGGTAACCCTTTATTTTAGCATCTCAATTCTGATATTTTGACACGACTTCAGATTTGAACATTTAAGATAAGATATTAAAAGTTCCATGCTGCGTCCAAAATGAATACTCTTGTTTTAGACATCCTGTAAGTATGTATGTAGATAAGATTATGATTAAATATAGTTTATTTCAGTGTGTAAGCCTGATGTATATATAAGGAATTACAAATATTATTACAAAAATGACATATTTTTTAACTATATAGCTGTATTCATATTTGATAACAGTTTTTCAAAATACAACACTGTTAATACAGATAAGCAGTTAATAGTACTGAAACAGTTAAAGATACTATTTATTTCTGAAATATTTCAAAAGCTTTTGAACATTATTTTCACTGTAGCAAGTATACTCTAAAAAAACAAAGAAAAATATGTTCTATTATTTCCAATTTGTAACTTCATGTAAACTTTGAATATAAAAAGGTTCCAAACTTCCTTTTGTTTATCTTCCCCTCTTTATGGCACAGGATAAAAGGTTGTCTCCCTTAGTCCATATTCAATTTTTCTTTCAAGTACTGTATACAGTCCTTATCAAAAGAAACCAGTATAACTATGAACGAGTAGAAAATAAACCTTCTCCCTGCTACAACAATAAATGATGTAGTGTGGATACCATAGGAATTACCTATTGTAACCGCTAAAGCAATTAGAAAGCCAATTGTGATTATGCTACCAGTTCTAATGTACAGGGTTATCATAATGTTTTTGATGAAAGCTAAAGCTTTGTACATCCTTTCAAGACTTGTTTCTTGATTATTCGAAGAAGTATTTCTAGGAGGAGCCTTTTTTCCAGAAGCCTTTGCTGCAGTAGACGATGGAGTAGGAAGAGCTGCAACTACATTAGAAGCAACATTCTCAGAATCATTAGAATCATTAGCTGTATCAAAATCATTTGGAGGAGAAGCACCAGCTTCAATAACATAAATAATATTAGGAGGTAAAGTATTACCAGCAGAGAAGGGGTATGCGGTACGCAGATTAGGACCAAAAGATGATGAAGAAGCTACTGAAGTAACTGGTGTCAAGCCAGAACAACCATATGAATCAGTCTGATAACCATGACTGCCAGTTGTCTGTTGAGAAGTGGAAGGGGACGAAGGATTAGAAACAGGAGTATTGTGAGCTGAGGAATCCCGAGGTATAAGAGTAAAAGAACGAGGATGGGGAAATACAGTATCAGCTGGAGCAGTTAGAGTGGACGGAGATGATGTAGGATAAACAGGGTCAGAATGAGCAAGTGCATCAGCATCTAAAGAGATAGTTGGTGCAGGAAGGACAGCCGAAATAGAATGAGGTTGATCAGCTGCAATAGTATTGCAGCCATAGGATGTAAGAGTTTTGATTTTTCTGATCAGTACAACTATAAGTTTTGCCCCTTCGAGTAACACAGCAGTCCCTAGAAATATTTCTATGGAGGGCAGAGGTTTACAATTTGTTTCTTCTAATTCAGACTCTGTGTTGTTCATCTGGTGTAGAGTTGATATGTTAACTGCCTGGATGTGCTTTACAAGACCCATTTCAGTCCGAAAATTGATGATGATTTTGTTCTCTGGATCATCAGCATGGCTGTAGCAAGTCACCCAACTGTAAACCAAGTCAACACCAACCAGAAGTACATTTAACAATACTGTTAGGATCGTGCCATGGATTGGGTTCAGGTTGTGGAAATACACAGGGTTGGCGAACAGCAATAGTCTTCCAGCACACAAGGCCAAGACTGAAAAGCACGCCATCACAGCAGTTAGCCTCATGGATAGGAAGGAAGCAGCCAGAGAGGGATGTACATCTACAAACCTCTGAAGCTCAGCATGAAAGAAGCAGGTGGTCAATGCCATTGAAAAGTTTCTTGTAGATCCAAGAAACAAACACAGCTAACTTTCTGTTAAGCAAGTTTTTCTGTGCAACTGGCCTAGTATTTAGGAATTGTAATAGTAAACCTGACGCAGCACTTGTTGATGAGAAGGCAAGTACATCAACAGAGAAGGTGTAGTAGTTGGGCATTTCTGGAACATACACTACAAGGCACAAATAACCTAGTACTGCACATATTTTTACTGTATTTTTAATTGTCATTTTTAATCAGCTCTCAGGAAAACGGTTCTACCGAAAGTGATGGTTTCAAAACCTCCGTTCAAGAGGACCACCATTTACAGCTTGAGAGTAATAAAAAGATACAGAGATATATGGATCCGAATAATAAAGATAATATTTCTACATTAATTGGATTCAGAGAGGGGGGAGGGCTAATGATTTGCATTGGTAAATAGTTACTGTAACTTTTTTCATTGCAATAGAATTTAGAAGAAATTTATTTTTCAACTTCTAGTATATAACAATGAGATACTCATCTATAGAGATGGGCGCGTTAGGCTTTTCATTCATGTTCAAAAAATAATTGATTTGCTTTGTTCTCAAAATTATCGATAATTTTCCCTCTATTTTGTTTATTTTGTTACTGAACAATTGTTTAGTAAAATTTCCATTTGTTAAAATCTTTCGCTAAGAAAAATCTTTCGTTAAGAAAAATCTTTCCTTAAGTAAAATTTTTCATTCAGAAAAAAGATCGTTTTCTTGAAAGGTTTTCTTCGAAAAAATCGTCAATTTAGTAAAAAAAATTATTTTTTTAAATTGTGTGTTTCAACAAAATGTTTGTTCAGTAAAAAAATTATCGGTTTTAAAATTTTTTTTTGGAATATTCCTTTTTTTAGTTCGTCTTAAAAAACTACAGTTAAACCCTAAATAAGCCATACATCGAAAGAATTCATCAAATGTAGTATTCTTAACTTTCTGATAATGGAATGCTAGATATTTAGTTATTTAATTAAAACTGTTCCCACATATACATGGCTATTTATTTATTTTTGAAATTACTGAGATTTACGTAAAATAGTATTAAACCCAATGAAAAATTGGCAAGACAACATTTGATAAATTCTTTCAATGTATGGCTCATTTAGGGTTTAACTGTATCATTTTTTACTTCTCTGAATGAGCCATTTCATTCATCCATCCTTCGTTTTTTTATCTGAACGAAAAAAGAATTGTTGGTTCTTAAAATTTATGGTTCAAAAAAATAACGCCATCTCAACTCATCCATTCAAACTTTAAATTTGAATGTTTTTTACATTGAGCTTCACAAAGTTTACAAAATGAATATTGAAGATTATTTTTGAAAATTTATGATTTAAATTAACACAACTTTTTTTGGAAAAATAAGAAAAACCTTAAAGAAAAATTGTTTTTACAGAAATAAATTTTTCAACATTTATTTTACTTTGTTTTACACTCAAAATTACGTAATACGTATAGTTAAGTTTTTTAACAATTTGGATCTATTGGCTTTTGTATGTAAAACGTTATCCAAAGATTATCCAAATGACGCTATCTATAAATAATAATGTTACTCAAAATCTATTTTCTGCAATATCATCTAATATATACTTTGCTTGTCTGTTTGTTTGTTTGTTTAAAACCATAAACGTCAAAGCGGCTGAACCAATCGGGCCCACATTTTTTGTGGGACCTCACATGATCCTAAGGAAGGCTTAGAGGGTTAAATTGAAAAAAGAGGAAGGTGAAAATGTCTTATTTGATGAGGGGGGGGGGGGGGTCCCTGCCTTCATTCTTGGTTTGAATCTTCCAATTTTCGGCTGAACCTCAAATCTGGGATCTATTTTTTAAAAAATTGAATACTAGTGACCTCTTTAAATGACCTATAATGACCTTTGAATGTAATAATTATCGGGTAACCTGTAAACCTGAACTTCATTGTACATTATTAACTATCTACGTTTGTAAACTTCCACATAAAACCCATTTATTCATTTGTACTGAACTTCAGGTGATTACGTAGCATTATATGCTTAATCAGGTGATA